GTTTCAAGTGGAACATAGGGCTTCAGCAACACGTCTCCACTTTCTTCTATTTTCTGCCATTCCCTTAAGCTGGGTCGATGACTGCCCGTAATTTCTCATCTCCTCCCCATATGAGACGTTACCACTGAGCTATTCAGGCTCGCGACTGACCTCCTGTAGGACTGGTTGCAGATACGCCTTGCTGATGAGTGCCAACTAGCACGAAACCTAGGCCCAAGGCTTCCTGCCGATTGCCTCCAACCATCTAATACCAACAATTATTCGAATGACTTACAACTAACTCCATTCTGTAGAGAGAGCTCTGTTGTTATTGCTTTATTAACAGCATAAATTTGCATGGCAACGTTAAAAAATTCACTACATCTAAGCCATATAACTCTTACTTTTCCTACTACTATAATATAAGATAAATAGTATAATATTAATAATAGTAATAATAATAATAATCTACTTTATTCCAAAAACAGTACTTATAATACAGAATGGAATTCCCAGTATTTGTCACAATATTGCATGTGGTTTCCTCAAAATATAAATAAAATTAAAAATTAAAACAAAATTAATCGGAGGAATTTGTCCACATTTACGACATAAAGTCAAAAATATTCGAAGCACGAATTGAGAATGTTAAATATAATAATAATAACAATAATAATAATAACAACAGTGAGCTTGTTCCAAACGGTATTGTCGGTTCAGTTTGGAAACTTTAGCATGTTATAGATTATTGAATCTAATGTTCTGTTGATATAGCAGCATAGTGAGGGGAAACACAAAATTAACAGTTATAATACAGCTTAAATTATGTCCACACTTATGAAAAAACAATAAATAAACAAAACAAAAGAATTGAGAGGATCATAAGTATAAGAGAAACAATAACAATAAAGTTTGATGTTGCAAGGGTGGAGGAAATGGATTATTTAATGGTGCAAAGAAGGTTGGTTAGTTCAGGCCTAACACTATTTCCATCACATAAAGTACGTGCTAAATATGGTCTAGTGGAATTTTTGTACTTAGACGTAAGTGTATAAATTCTTCTGAACAGACTTCTTGTTTTGCCTGAGGAGACACAAGGTTGGAGCTGCGGGTATTTAAAAAATTCATTTATACTAACGATTGTAGAGCTGGATATGGAATTTATTAAAAAGAGGTTCTTCAGCGAATCACTTATTCACATCTTTTGTGTCCTAATGGGAATTTTCTATGAAGTAACTAGTATTTAGACATATTTATTCTAATACATTTGAATAGGCTAGCAACATTTCTTATTGTTTTTATCTTAAGACATTTTATTTCTTTTATTTTTATCTTTTATTATAGCTTGAAACCGCACAGTATTTTTGATACAAGTATGGAATTTTTAGCATGTGATACCAGTAGCCCAAAGTTTGCAGGCCAACCATTGATATCAGGTGTGCGTCGGCAGGGGATCGAACCTCGGACCATGTGCATGGTCGGCGAGAGTTCTAACCTCTGTGCCGGCGACGCCAAAAAGCCGGCAACACCCGGTATTCCCAGCCGGTCACCCATGCAAGTACTAACCAGGCCCAACGTTGCTTAACTTCAGTGATCGGACGAGAACCGGTGCTTTCAACGTGTTGTGGTCGCCTTCACGGAAGTCAGATTATCCAGAGAATAAGATACTTAAACTTAACTTTAATTTCATAGCTGGACAAACAATTTGTGTCAATAGAAACCAGACTATTCATTATACATTTTGCTTTTTGGGAATATTGTATTCATATCAATGGTGAATCGGTGATCGAATGCTTCCTAACTACGCGCAAAGGCCTGAATTCAATTAATGGCCAACGAAATCCTTAACCACACTTAGCCACTAAGCCTAATAAAGAGGGAGGGTTGAACTTGAGGTTAGCAACTCTACCCCGTAAAAAATAATAAGCAACACTGCTTGTGAAATTTCTTAGCTTCAGCTTGCGGCCATGTGTTGCACTTGGAATCCAAAGTAATAAAAAAAAACAATAATTTGTATTCAGATTAGACATTAAACGTTATGTATATATATACTGGTATATTACGATTAGTTTTTAAACACTCAATGTACAATTCACATTCAACGATGTTATCGACAGACAACAAGATGGGATCGCAATGGGATCTCCACTGGCTTCATTACTTGCAGACTGCTTCAGAGGAAACCTCGAGAACGGCCCATTCAGATTTCCATTTGTATGCTAGATATGTGGACGACATCTTTATTATCTGTGATGATGGACACGATCTTAATCAGTTACTATAAATATTCAACAAATGCCATCCAGCTACAAAGTTCACTCTTGAAACTGAAAACGAAACTAAAATCCCTTTTCTTGATGTTGAACTTACAAGGAGAGCTGATGGAAATTTAAGAGGGTCCATCCATAGGAAACCCACATGGAACGGCCAACTGACAAGCTTCTACAGTTGGGTACCAATCAGTCAATAAAGAAACCTAATTAGATCTCTTGCCACTCGCGTCCGACGCATCTGCAGCTCTGGAAGAACTACACTTCCTGAAAGAAGTCTTCATACAAAACGGTTATCCATCAAAATTCATAGACAAAAACATCAAACAAAAAATCCAAAGGCAAGAGACACCATCCGTGCCAAGAAAAATACTTTATATGAACCTCGAATTCAATGGTGACCTACTCAGTGATGTCCTTAGGAGGAGAATTTCTACTTCTTTAAGAAGAACTTCCTTTGCGGCAACATTGAGAGAGTAGTGTTCTCAAGTCGCCCGCTGATCTGCAGAAGCCCAAACGACAAGATCCCGCACCTGACCACTTCTGTGTGAATATATCAGTTCACCTGTTGCTGTGGAGCCAGCCAGGTATATCGGCCGTTCAACGCGTATCCTGTCAAAAAGGGTCAAAGAACACTATCCAGCGTGGCTGCAGAAAGGAAGTAGTGGCCGTATAAGGAGTGCAATAATCGAACATCTCGTCACCACTGGTCATCCCATCTCAACAAACGCCTTCAGCTTCACAGTAATCTACAAAGTGAAGAACAACCTGACAAAGACAATACGTTTCCGTCTTCTTTGCATTGCAGAAGCCATAGCCATTCATTTGGAAGGACCGGAACTATGCATACAAAGGTAAATTATTCAACCACTTCTACTCTCATGGTAACAACTCCGTTGATTTGACTTATTTTTTGTTTGTTTTGCTTGATTTCGCTTAACTCTTGTTTGTAAAACAAATGAACACTCTGATGAACACGAAGTATCTAACTCAATTTATAGTTTTTACATATATATATATATATCCGTTAGTCCTACAAACATATTTAAAGAATCAACAGTTAACATTGAGTTCATCAAAACTCTCCTATGCTGAATACATAAATTAATAGCAGTTGTAATATTTATGAGTCATATATGCCGAATGTTTACTAGATTTAGAAACTACTCAGTTTTTTCCTTCCTCTATCTGTTTTATTTCTTTATATATATGTGTATATTAATGTAGGTAGTAAAAAAATAGCTTATTTTAGAAGATGAGGTATTTTTAAACATTTCATCACATCAATCAATAAAATAACTGTCAATATTGATCGAAAACACAAAGCTCAATAAATTTAAACTATAGTATAATCATCCCGCAATCTTCATTACTATAATAATAATAATTAACTACAATGAATTATTTAGACTTAATAGTTTCTTATACTGCAAAATTATTCATTATTAAATTTATTTTCCTGTTGAGATTAACTCTGTATTATATGAACTCCTCTTATCCACTTATCTACTGTATATTTCTAACTACCTAATATCATTGTACCAAAAATATCACTTTCGTTCCCTTATCATATAACATTCATTATTGTCATGAAAGATTAATGTTAGGTTTGGGCTAGGGACAGGTTAGGGTTAGGTGAATCTAGTTAGAGAGATGTTGTACATTCATAGCTCAATGGTAGAATTCTCGTCAACCATGCCTCATGTGGTACAGGGTTCGAATCCTAGCCGACTCACTCCTCACAAGTGGCTTAGTTTGCCAACCAACCATAAGCCTGATGAAATAGAAAAGCAATCCCACTCCGTAAAAAAACAACACTAACTCTATTGAAACTTCAAAACTCATGGGCTGAAGTTCTATGTTCCACACTTGAGAATGTGAAGGAATAGAATAAAAAGCTAAAGAGATATTAGGCTTAGTTAGAAGTACATTCGGGTTAGCTTCAGGATAGCTTAGCGTTAAAGGATCATAACAACTACTCATTGGTGCGTTGTGACTTTTGGGCAGTCGAAAGCTGAACTTTACCAGAAAACAACAGGGAACAAAAAGCTCAAAATAACTGTCACTCTTATTGTTTTTATTAAAAATATCCATAACAAAATATGAAACATATTAACAAAACTAACAGATTCATAAAACGTTAAGGCATAAAGGTGAAAACATAACTGTTACAGTAATAATAATAATAATAGAACGCATAGGTATAAATACAGATACATATTAGTAATAGTAGTGTAATATTGAAAATTGAGCTTATCTCTTTATGTCATGGTATAAACACAGTAGGAAAGTCATTCACTGTTTTATTTTCACTGAATGAATAATAGAAATAACTTGACAGTCTTTTCATCTTTTTATTAGAAAAAAAGGAGAGGAACAAGAGAAACAGCAACGGTAAATAACAAGAACACAAACACTAACGGCAGGTAATCATCTTTATCAGTCTTCTCTTTTTAATCTTTCCTTCTTCTAAGCCTTGATTCTTTCATCTTCAGAGTTACTTTTGTTTTAAATAAGAAATTCTAAGTTTAAAGATTAGTCATAACAATAATAATAATGGGAAGTGATGGCTGTGTGAATAGTATTAGCAGTAGTTATAGTAACAACGAATGATAATAATCGTATTAATAATTTCGTTATATAAGAAGTCTTAAAAGGTAATTTACTGCTGTTGTTGTAGAGTAATAACAAACATAGTAATCGTAGCAACGAAAGGAGGGAGTACTATAAAAACAAAAACAGTCGCCAACTTGTAGGTGATCAGGCCGGTGAGAACATGTCTTTAGAAAACATAACAAATGATTTAAAAATGGTAGTAAGAATAACAGAAGGTTGAGTAAGATACACTGGAGCTATAAAAGTCGAATAAAAATGTATAAAGTGGATAATAATAATAGAAGCAATAATATAGAAAAACAATTCAAAAATGCGTTTATCCAAAATATAAACAAAAATTTCCTGCATTTTTTAGTACAGTTATCAGGAATAAGAATAGTATTAGAAATGTAACCAAAAAAGATGTATCGGAAGGAAGACGTAGAGTAGGAAAACTAATAAGTGCAAGAAAATAGGCGTAGAAAAAATAGAAAGGTTAACAACAGACTGAATTTTCTTCATCATTCTAACATAAAAAATAGTTACTTGTTCAGTTTTTTTTCTTCAATTTTTATATGAATTATGATGTCGTGGTAGATGTTAATGCAACAGAAGTTGATGATTGTGAAATAACTGGATTAGTTGTGGTATTATTATTATTACCACTATTACTAGCATTACTACTATTATCATTACTGCTACTGATATTACTGTTAATTTGTACAGCAACTGTAGTACCAGATTGAATTTGAGCAATTGATGACAGGTTTAAATCACTTGATGAATTGATATCAGTCAATGTACCATTTTTTATTGGCTAAAATAAAAAATAAACAAAAAAGAAAAACATTAATAGAAATTTAAAAAATATTCATATTCTAATATGGAATTTAATTGGTGGATGGTGACTAGCAGTGGAATCCAGGATAACGCGCGTTTCGTCTTATTTGGGACTCGTCATCTTGTGCATCAGGTCATATTAATTACTTAATTGAATTTTAGATTTTCCCTTCAATTTCATTTTTTCCTCCCAAATTAGTGAATATATATTGAGAAGGCGATGGAACTTTAGGTTTTTGGCTCAGGAGAATCACGAAAAATCAAATCCACTGGGGTAGGGATTATTAGAATTTTCAAGAACTATGCAAAAAGATATATAAATTAAGAAAGTATCGGAAGAAGGTGACTAAATGAAGAATATATAGCACAAATGATGAGTTACATCACCTACAGCTTTCATGTGTTGATTACACAAAGTTAGCTAAGTCGAACACAAGTGTACACAAATGATAAGTTATATTTGACTGAATCTACGGTAATTACAATTTGATTCCATCTAACTTCAATTTAAATTACTTTTCGAAGGTGATAAGCTTATCATACGCAAAGCAAATCTCAGTCACCTAAATTGATAATGACTTTCAACCTTGTCACAGTAGAATTTGTTTTCTGCATTTCAAATGACGTTTTGGATGCGAAAATTATCCCCTCTGCAGCTTTACTACAGGCAAGAAGTTCATGCAGAAACTCTATAACTTCATTCGATTTTGAATAATATTATTACTTAACGGTAGATTAGCAAATAATAGACTGTTTCTCAAGTTTACTGTGTTCTTCTGGTTGACAATCACATATCTCACCACTTTCACGGATAATGAAATTTGAAAAATGTTAAAGCCATCAATCGGATTTATCGTGAAACAACTAACAAAATAGATGAACCAGTCAACCGTCGTCGATCCCTCATTTAAAACTCTGTATTAGCAGAAGTTAGTCCTATTAGCATCATCTCATTTAATGGATACAAAACACATAGCAACAAACTCAACAGTCAGTCCTTTTTTGAATGAATTCAGAAGCACTTGAACGTATTCAGTACTGTTCGCTTAGAAATTAATCGTCTACACATTGTAATTTACCCGCCCATTTCTCAATTAGCATGTTAGTTCTTGATGAATCCTTGACTTTATCAGCCATTCCTTTATAGCTATATGTAACTATAACAACGGGAACGACTTCCACCCTTAGACCACGAAGTACGCGAAATGACGAACAAACCATTTTCTCAGAACTTACTGACTTGATTAATACGAACTCGCTTAAACTTGCCCGGGTTTTTTAAACTGATAAACTTGCTAAATTTACCTCTTAACTGATACAGTAGTCATAAAAAAAGAGCATTGAGTGATTTTAAAATCTTAAGTGTGCTAATAAAATAGAACTGAAAACTATTTATTTACCTTTATTATAAGTGAATTTATTGTATTTCTTTTAAAATATAATTTCAACAAAACTCACGGAAGGATTTGCATAAATAGTATTTGATAAATGACGTGTGCATGTACCATTTGCAGTAAATATTTTATGATGTGTGATGTGGTGACTGAGATGGTGGATTAACAATTGATACTACTGTCGTATTTGTTTGATTATGATGATGATGATGAGCTTGCTGTGTTAGTTGATTTTGACGTAAATTTTGTTGTATCTGAGCTGCTGCTGCTGCCATTGGATGAATAGAATTCTGTTGATTTAAACAATTTGCATGGGAATGATATTCTAAGATTGGCGTATATGTAGCTGTTGTATACGGGGATAAACATGAACCATCCATAGGTGTACCATTGTAAATATTAGTAGTTAACTGATTCCCATTAAATTGTTGTTGATGTTGTGTATGACAACCAACTATTGGTGTACCATCACATTGAAAACTTAAAGGCTGAATAACAAAAAATAAACAGAACAGAAGACAAATAATAACTGACTTTTCTTTTTAAAGCAAAACACTACACACACACACACACACACACAAACACAAACACACACAAAAACTCATGAAAAGAAAAGCAAATGATGAAAACACAGACTTAAGAATTTGATATTATCCATACTGACAAACACATTTTTTTATATAATGCAAAAACAACATATTGATAACAAATTTTACAGATAAAATAAAAGTAACAGGAAGGTTAATAACTAGGCGGCATATAGGCGGAAAAAGGAAAACAAACAGTTTCAAACAAATGACCAATGCATGACCAAATGACTAAGTGAATAAATATAACCAATTTATTACACCTCAAACAATAAACAACACAAGGAGATATACGTGTTCTCAACTGAAATGCTTAAACTGTCTCCCTTAAGAGTAGTAAATACTGAACAAACAGAAAACAACTTAGGACACCATTAGCAACAATTAATGACACACTGACTATTTTTTTTTATTATTAAGGAACGATTAACATTTCGAAGTATTAACGATTTAATGAAACAATTCGTTTTTTTATTATTTGCATCTAAAAGTTACAAACTAATATTTTTTGGCTTTAATAGATGCAATTAAAAGCCGAAAACTGACAGTTGCCTACCTCAACTGATTCCAATACACCCGATGAATTTGTGCTATGATCAGTACTGTAATCACTAGTCGAATTTCCTGGATATGGTGAACTTGTGTGATGATGAAATAGCATTACTTCATGACTAGTCCCAGTTAATGGACTATAAAGATAAGCCGCATTTGTTGGACACTGTTACAATCATACAATCATACACACAAAATAAAATGATGAAAAACTATTAGTTAGTAAATACAAAAAAAAGAAGTAATATGTATATAATAAAATATAATTTAAGTATATTTTCAAACAATTTTACAGTTTACAGTTTTACAAGTTCATGCATATACATAAATGAACAAAATACAGGTAAATATTAAAGGTACAAGAACAACCTTAGTCACTATTATTCATATTAATGGAATCAGAAAATAGAGAATACTTCATATTATCAAGTTTAGTTTATTTATCATTCTCCAATTTGCATGCAGTGTCTATATCATAACGTGCTTTCTTTGTTGGTAGACTGGAGGATAAATCATTACTAGGATCATTACAACAATTATCTGTTTCTGTGGGAGAAGATTTTGCGCATTCATTTGAAATATATTCCGTTTGATTCGTATTTGTACTTAATAAGGATGAATTTATTGAAGCTGTAGCTAATGCAGCCAATGCTGCTGCTGTCGTTAAATCAAAATTCATATTCATTTCAGTACTAAAAATATTTCCACCTGATTGTTGCATAGCTGCAGCAGCAAGTAATGCTGCAGTGGATGCCGTTAATGCTGAATTCGGTGGTAATAGAAGCGTGGACGGTAGTGTATCAATTGTTGATTGTAATAATGATAAGTCTGAATCACTCACCTGTTGATTTGGTTGAATATTTTGATTAGATGTAGTTGGCGTTGAAGTTGTCACTCCTATACCTGAAGATGTGGTGATAGCACATACACCAGACTGAGGACTTGTTCCATGAATACCGTTCTGTGCTTGTTGTAAATTTGGTGACCAACGCCAAGTTGCTTGTTGTTGTTGTTGTTGTTGGGCGGCAACAGCAGCAGCCACTGCAGTGGCTTGTTGTTGAGTGATTGTTGTTGTTTGACCAACAGAATGATGACCATTGTTTGCTTGAGCAACACCATGGGCTGCAGCTACAGTAGCTAATTGCTGAGGACTTTGTTGATTATTCTGAGGTGCCTGTTGTGGCCATTGGACAGCGGCAGCCATTGCAGCAGCAGCAGCCATCACTGCAGCAGTCGACTGAGACTGAGGACTAGGAGTATTTGTACTGACATTCACTGGTGCAATTTGACCAACAACAGCTGGTGTTAGACCAGAAGGTGTTCCTGTTTGATGAAATTGTTGTTGAAGTGCAGCTGTTACTGCCTGTTGTGAAATATGTGCATATGCTGACACTGGAGCAGTTGCAGTTGAATGCAAAGAAGGCGGTAGATACAGTGTTGTCCCTCCACTCGGTTGAGGCAGCATCATTGTAGCATAGGGAGTAGCCGTCTAAATTAATTAAAATCAAAAGAAAATTTCCAGGAAGTATGCATCTATGTATTTCCTACTGTTATTCACATTTACAGCATAAACTGATGCCAAAATATTTATGATAATTCAATTTAGTTAAAAAAGAATGACATCCACAATTATAAGGTACAACCTCTCTACCACATTTTGTTGACATTTCATTCAGTAATTTCAAACAACTTTTGATAGACGACATTTACAAGGAGTAAACACAAAAAGTTTAGCAAACTAATTCACCCCATAAAAATTTCATAAATCACAAACAATTCATAATACAGGTATAGATGATTTATTATTTTATAGATCACTAAACTTATGCCACAGGAAGTTGTTCCATTATTTATGATAAAGTTAAAGCAGCATGGTATAAAACTAGTATAACTGTCTGTTATGCTGGTTACCTACTTTATTACTACCATATTTCCCATATTTTCAACCTGAAAGTTTTTTTATCATTGAGATTAAAAGGTTTGTCATAAAAAGTGATCTATTAAACCTTTTTCTCATTAGGAAATCTCTCCAAAAGCTTACGGTGAAATATTCAATATCAGAATACAGAAACTAACAGTCTGCATTGTTACCCCCTTTTTCTTGACTCTAATTTCTATCAACTTACTTAAGTGACTTTTACAAAAAAACTATTTGAATGAAATATAACATCTTAAAAATAAAAAAATTCCTTCTGTACAACATCTATCATGAAACGTATAAAAAAATTGAGCAGATTGTGGCAGAAATTGAGTACTTAATATTTTCATATAGATGTTTCACTAGTTACCATGGTAACAAATCATATAATAATGTAAAAAAACGAACTTCATTATTTTCTAGTCAGAATATCTTCTCATAATTAGAAAAACTTGTTTATAAAAGGTTATGAAGAGGAAATCATTAATTAAAGTAACCTGTAAATACCAAGTAATTATCAGATTAAAAGGTGGCTAATTCGGGAATTAAATAATAGGGTGATTATAAAACAGGGTGGGTACTGTATGGTAAATTATGTTCACCTTTTATCTGGCATGCTACATCTGTTTGCAGTTTAATTTATCATTGGTATGTAATACCGGGTGACATTATCTAACGCTAGGAAACTGTACAACAAAATGCTCAATAAAGTTCAGTAATGTAGGAGTACCTAGGCCAGATAAATAAGACGAAATCCATCAAAAAAAAATAATTATACGGTCTCTCATGCACTGATTATTAATACTATTTATTATGACTTAACCAATAAAGATATAATTACTTACCTGAGTTAACATAGAATACTCCTGACCAGGTAGCGGGAATACAGCCATGCTATTTTGAAAACCATATGGCATCGCACCACCAGTGAAGAATAAGGCAGTTGTAAGGTCTATCAAAGAAGAAAGAAACGTTTTATTTAAAATACCGAAAAAAAGATGTGTAGAAAGGATAAAACAAAAACAAAGCAAAACAAATACATACCAGGGCGTGTGAACATTTGTTGTTTACGAATTGCATAACCAATATTCAGCTTTCGATCTTTGAAAATTAATGTTTCAGACTAAAAGATTATAATTAACAAAAGCATAGACTAACCTCATTCTTGATAATCTTTTCAGCCATTTCTTGACTTTCAAAAGTAACAAAACCGTAACTTCTGTTTAACTGTTAGAATTGTTTTTTAAACTTAACATACCCTTTAGATATTCCGAGACGATCATTTATAATTTTAACATCTTTTACTTGACCGAAGCTTGAAAAGAAAGACTTCAGTTCTTGTTCAGTGGTCTTAAATTGAGGATTAAAAATGACCTTACTGAAACTTACATTTGACGGTATTCCTCCAACAAATATGCGATTTGGGATAAGTGTACCAAACTTTGGTGGGCTGGATGATGCAGGAGCCAATGGGTGACAGGAAGGAATTAGTGCCGTCTCAGCGAATAGTCGACTAGCTGGATCACTTGCATGAATGTTTATACCGGCCTAGGTTAAGATAGTACGAAATACAAAAAAGTGAGTAAATCTAAGATATCGAATAGAAGTTAACACATCTTTACTGAAAACCATAATATATCTAAGAAGTTCATAAAATCTTGGAAAAAACAATATTACTTATTCTCAATTCAGTGAAAAATACCAGAGATAGGGACTCTCAAACGAATATGCAAACTGATGACCAAATATTTCTGGGTATAACTGGATAGCAACATCTTATATTAATTTAGTAAAATTGAGTTATTTTCAGTTTGTCCTATGCTCTAAATTATTTAACAGTTGAGTTTCACTGGTAGAATTTCAGTCATCGCTAATAATAAAAATTACAGTTATGCTAAAAATATTAAAAGCAAAATAACCTAATAAAAAGGATTCTCATCAGATTAATAGCTGTCTATGATCTTCGTTTTCTTCGCTTGCAACCAACATGCAAAGGGTGTATGGCAGTCACACTGTGCCAGCATGCCATCTAGGCAGTTCACAGTTTCCAACACTTAACAAAATATTACAGTTTTATTAAAAAATTACTTAGATTCAGACATTTTTTAGGTTAAATTTCAACTACCCCTCACTTTACTACATATAATAAGCTGACATGACAACATATCGTTTACAGATAGTGTATGAAAACTAAATGTCAGAGTAAATTAACTAAGTTGAATAAAAAAAACCATTTTAACAAATTAAATGACAAAGACCATTTTGAGACTTACCATTGTTGAAAAAGAAATAACAGAAACGGCACAAAGTTACTCAAAAACAAGTAGCTTCAGAAAATGAAACGACGCAGGTAGGATGCGCTTATTTATACCTTTTTGTGATCAGAAAGACGCGTGGGCGGAGAGCTGCATATATTATATCTTCTCATTAAATGCCCACAATGATGGCCGTATTATCTCTTATCTGATTGGCTGATACATTTATGGGCACCTGGATTTTTAGGGAGATGATATATTTCTGTCTGTCTATTGGACACTCTTTATAGACAAGTAAAGGGGGGGAGACAATTAATTGATTTAACTTTTTTAAATTGTGTAGATGATACTCATTATTAAATATAATTATTTAATATGTTATTTCAGTTTATTTTTTTCTAACAAAAATACTAGTAACTGTTTTGATGTTTACCTGAGAAGTAAATGATTGTTTTCATATTTTCCGGTGACAATATAGCAATGTAAATTTTACTACGCCACCGTTAATATGCTTAAGGCCAGAGAAAAAGTAGTGTTTAGACTGGTTTTATTTATTTAGTTTCTGGATTAATAATCTCAGCATGTGTTACTCTTGACTAGACCTCACTTGTCCCCATGTGTATTTCTCAGAAAGAAAGCAGTACACCGTGTATAAAGAGAAGTCTTCCACTTCATTGCCTACTGAAGCTGGTGTCCCTCAAGGCGCTGTCCTTTCTCCTTTTCTTTTTTCTTTCCTCTTACATGACTTGCCTCAGTCTGATGAAATAAACTTTGTGAAGTACGCTGATGATTTAACAGTTTCAATGGCTTTTAACTCCCAGCTAGATTATATCAAAATAAATAGCTTTCTGTCGGTAGTCAGTAAATGGTCTGAGTCTTACGGTCTTAAACTGAATCCTTCTCATTGTCAAACTGTTAATTTCAGCTTAAGATGTAAACGACAGTTAAAAGAAGCCGTCGATTCTCATGACAGTTGCAAGATTGATGACAATGATATAGGAATTCAATCAGAAATTAAGTATCTTGGACTTATTCTCTCTTCTGATCTCTCCTGGTCTTCCCATGTCTCAGCGATCTTCAGTAAAATATTCCGCCTGACATTTTACATTAGGAAGTTAAGGCACTCGGGTATAACTCAACCCCTCCTCTTACAGTTCATAAACTCTTGCATCCTACCTATTCTTCTTTATTGTTCACCCTTATTCTTTCTGGTTTGCTTAAAAAAGACTTTGTCACAATTCGTAGAATGCTGAAGACTGTCAGTAGGATGAGTGGTGTCCCACTGGACTACATAGTTAACGTCGTTGTCGATAGGCACTTGACTTCGTGCAATAAATTCGCTAAAGGGATTTTGTCTGACTTGGAGCATCCACTTTACCCTCACCTTTCACCTTGCATCTTCTCAGGTAGAACAAGAAGTAACTTCAGAAAACTGTATACTCGCACATCTAAGTTTAAAAATTCTATGATACCATACTTGGCACGTATTTTATGTGATGAAAATAGTGTCAGGCAAGAATTGACTAACCTTTTTTCATCTGGTAAATAAACAATTTCCTCCATCCATCCTTATATACCTTCAAGTTTTACTTTTATTATTTCTATTACATTTGTGGTCCTGTTGCTTCTTTGTTTTACGCTCATAATTGCAAACACCAACCTATCTCTATGACTGCTGTAATCTTTGTTTTTCCCCTCACCATATCATGGGAAGAGAACATTATATTCAGTAGTTTTAAACATGCTAGGATTTCTATACCGCATCAACAATACTGTGTGGAACAAGTCCACGGCAATTTGCACTTGTACTATTATTATTATTGCCTAACCTGTTATCATTATTAATATTTCTATTTTATATGCTGCATGTTTTTGACATTACCCCTATTGTAAATTTTCTGTGATTAATTTTATTTATAATTTGAGGAAATTAGATGCAATATTGTGATTAATGCTGAAAATTCCATTCTGTATCACAAGTACTGTTTTGGGAATAAAGTAAATTATTATTATTCACCTTATTTAGAATCATTTAGATAAATCTGTAGGATTATCAGAGCAAAGTATCTAAGTAATCGTTCTTGAACGTAATCAATCAGTTTAAAGAACAACAGGTAGTTTCTAATTAAGGCTTTTACATAAAGTCAGTTGAACTTGATTATAATTGTACGATCGATTCAGCAGTCTGTTCTCCTTGGAATTATGAATAGCCAATTGTCTGTTGATTTACCTTTCATACAAATCAGTTTCCCCGTGCTTTTTTGATGTACTTTTAATCACTTTTGAGAATTGTAACCGTTTTTGAAAGGATTTATTGATACGTTATTTCTCGAATATGTTTTTTTTTTTAACAGGAATACTAGTGAACTTAAATATTAATTTCATTGTTTTTTATCATGACGTTCTTTGAAGTCAGTGTCGGTGGAAATAACGTCTGTTTCACACTGTTGTTATGTACTGTGAATGGTTGATTGATGATATAAGTAATTGGACACCTCTCAGGACAACCAATATTTGATAGTGTGGAATATTCCTATATTATGAATTAAAAGTCAATGCGAACGAAGAATATTCTTTTCAATAATTTCTCTTCAGGTTCTTACAATTTTAAAGTATAATATTTGTTGTCGTTACAATAACGATAGCCAGTTACGCGGTGGCGGATACATTTTTTACGCAGAATAACAGTTAAGTTATGGGGTGTCAAAATAAATAGCCGTATTTGTGTGACAAACGTCGTGATAGGCTGAAATCAATTACAAAATATTGTAAAATGGGAGACAATGGTGGTGATTAATCATAATAGATTTGTAGAGTGTGGGATAGGAAAATTGACAAGTCAGTTCAAGCTTATAAAAGTTGTCAGGTGAGTGGCTAGTACAAAGTGGTATGTATTAAACAGGAGATAGTAAGACCGCAATGAGATGTTCATAATGAAATAACGAATATGTGAAACGAAACAGGTGAAGGTATATATTGAGAAAAGAGATAATATCACTAATCATAAGTCCGGATAGTGTAAATAGTATGACGCATAAATTATGACGAATAACAATAATAATAATTGCAATAATAAGCAAAGACAAGAATAAAACCAAGAGGGTTAAGGAGAAGAAGCACTCTTGGTGAGAAGGAGAATCATCAATCCAAGTTTGGCCACGGTGGGAACAGCGTCTGGAAGTGTTCTTTTTGAATACAAAATTCCGGTTTAATCGATTTTATTACAACAGCTTCAGCTATGTGTAGCAGACGTAAGCGAACTGTACGTGATAACAACTAATATTGCTTGATAGCCAGCGTTTTGATCACCGGAGATTCATTCTACTGATTTGAGGCGAAACTCATCAGCTGTTTACCCTAATTGACTCAGTTCAGAGAGGAGTATCATTTCAAACTATCGGGATTTCGGCTGGCTACCTGAGAGAACTGATAACACACACTACTTTGATCTAGCCAGCAAATCCTACTTGTCGGTATGAGTGGTTCCAAAGTATTCAGTCAATCACTGTATAATATAGAAAGGTGCATTTATGATTGCCATTGATGATATCAAGCAGAAAACATGGTATGATCTGAGTAAATTACCTTAAACCCCTCCAAATGCCAAACAGTCAATTTCACTTTTAGGCATAAATCCGACCTAAACAAACTGGTTGGCTCTCACTAGGTGTGCAACATAGATGGCACTGAAATAGAAACCAAATCGTAAATTAAATACCTAGGCGTCATTCTATCTGCTGATCTTTCCTGGTCGCGATTTCTAAGAAAATATTCTGTCTTACGTTCTACATCAAGAAGTTAACACATTCTGGTATAACCCAACCCTTACTCCTACAATTCGTTAATTCTCGCATTCTGCCTATTATTCTCTATTGTTCCTCCTTAGGTTTTCCAGGGTTACTGAAGAAATACTATACCATATTACGCAGGATGTTAAAGGTTGTCAGAAGGGTAAGCAACGTGCCACTTAACGAGCTCGTTAATATTCTGGTTGACAGGCACATAGACTCATGTGGAAAATGGGCCAAATCCATTTTATCTAACTCACACCACCCTCTTCACTCACAACTCTCCCCTTGCATCTCATCAGGCAAAAGCAGAAACCTATATAGAAAACTATATGCTCGCACTAGCAAGTACAAAACTCAACCATACCCTACTTAGCTCGTGTTCTGTGCGATAAAGAAAGCATTAGGCGTGACACCTATAATTCATTAAATAGTCAGTAGAACAACTGGACCTCGTCTTTCCAAATCATATCATTTATAAGTACAACATTTTCTTTCTTTCTTTTCCTTTTCTCACTCTCTTTTTTTCTTTCTTTCCGTTATGTGCTGCTTTGTTTCTTTCTCTCGCTTACGCCAGTAAATATGATAGCACCTACTTTTCTAACACCATCAAACACTGTTCAACTTTGGCTTTGCTACCGACATCCCAATATGTTGTTGTCATAATGAACTGAGATTTCCTTAATCTACGTAGAATTTCTATTTATTGATAATGTACTAACTGGATGCAATACTGTAGTAAAAAAAATGCTGAGAATTCCATTCTGTATCACAAGTACTGTTTTGGAATAAAGCAAATTATTATTATTTAAAAAAAGCTTACTAACTAACATATATTATTCATTCATATGTGCCTTATAGAGCTAGCTGACACATTGAGAACAGTGAAGAATATCACTTCACTTACAGTGTATTATTTCATGATTCAAAACTTCAAAAAACATAACACCATTTGTCTGTCAGAGTTTTAAAAGAGCAGTTATAAAGAAATGTATCAAAAAAATTTCACTGACGTTTGTTAAGGTTTCTGCTAGTCAATTAAGCGAATGATATGTGTGTTTACGCTAATCCATGGGTAACAATACTGTTAACCTGTCGTCATGATTCCTCCCCTCTTCCCCTTTTATCATCTTATTTTTGGTTGGTTTTTTCTCTACCTTCTTAACTTGAGTGAACAGTGTCCATTGTCTAGGTAGGTGTATGGGGGATGACATTATTTATTTATTTATTCAATCCGTATTCACCTCATTTATACTGTTCATTATTATAATAAAGGTTTTTTTGTATT